TAATATTTTGATTAGCATGAATTTTGGTATAGCGCATTGAATTAAGTCTAGAATGATACACCTCCTATATATATTTTCGCCCGATTTGAAGTAAATTGTGCACTAAAGATCCACAGCTAGGCCGATTGACACAACTTACTGAAATTAGTATAAATTAATCTCTGGCAATTTTTCTTCAAATATGTTCAGATATAAATATATCGTAGCTTTCATATATAATTTTGACTTATTTATATCTGTCAAATCTGTCCCACTGTGCGCAAACGACTCCTAGCTTGCCCAAATAAAATGAAAGTTCCAGAAAGACATAAAAATCACATATTTAAATTCTAAAGGCGACGTTTTTTCGGATACATATGTAGAATATAGCCAAAGTAGTGAAGGGTATCATATAGTCGGCCCAGTCCGACTTTACTACTCTCCTTACTGGTTTAAATATGTATATACAGTCATGAAATTTAAAATCAGTCAAATTGGCTCGATACGTAAATTTAGTGTTAAACTGCATTATTGTCACGGTAAATAAGGAATACTATTTTGAAGTTTTGCGCTGTTTGTGCGAAGCACAATCATCGATTTTGTACCACGATAACGCAATAGCTCACACAGTGACGCTTGTGCTTGAGTTTTTGGCCTAACGTGCCTCAACCAACGTATTCATCCCCACAAAATGTTATGTCTTCACAAAACTGAAGACACCGAATAAAACAAACGTCAAGCATCGATTAATAAACGGTTCATTTGATTGATTTTTCACATCAAGGCCATAAGGCAGTCTGAAGATTTTCGTTTTAATCCGTCTTAATTTTAGACTTTTTGTTCACTTGATTATACCTTTACCTGCAATACGAAACAAGATAGACCCATAGCTATTTTTGAGGAAATGTACTCTGAGCCAAATTATGTATGTCCGTCCATAAGTCTGTCCGTGAGTTGTTGCGAACAAATTGCCCAATGGATGGACATTGATAATAATTTCTACCATTCTACAGATGGGACACAGTGTCACGACCGCGGCCAAAAATGGTCAAAACCAAGTAGCTCGGAGGACAACTTTATTGACAAGAATTATAGAATAGAATATAATAGACTCAAATTAGCACAAAGTAGCTCGGAGGACAACTTTATTGACAAGAATTATAGAATAGAATATAATAGACTCAAATTAGCACAAATATGAAATTTGATATTGATACGTCCAGCAGTTTTGTCTCTACAAAGGTTCAAGTCTGATAATTGTTTGTAAAGTGATTTTACCCTACACAACTATTTTGTCAGGATATTATAGCTTTGTGCAGCCCCAAGAGTTTGTAACGCCGCGAAATATTGGTCCTATACCCACCTTTAAGTATACCGATCGTCATATATCGACTAACTGAGTCGATCTAGACATGTGTGTCCATCCGTCCGTCTGTCCATTATAATTTATAAACACGATACATGCCACAGTTATGGAACAATCTTCACGAAATTTTACATGTAGGATGGGTTCGGCCCAATAAAGATCCCTATTGTTTTTGGTAAAGATCAGTTAATATTTAGAGCATGAAATGGACCAAATACTTAATTTTTTCGGATTTTCTGGTTGCTCCGCAATTATGGCCCAAACTTCTCTATTTTTGCATAGAGAAGGGTATAGGGTTAAAGAATAAGCATGCCTATTTTGATAAGGATCTGTCAATGTTTAGCGGGTCAAATGGACCCTGGCTTTTGTGTGAAAAATTACAAAATGTGTATTCTATAACGTATATATTTACTCCTGAAGGACATAGAGCTGAGAAGTTGATAGTATATCCAAAATGAGTGGTTGGCCTTTAAATTGATGCCAATTATATTGCCATATGTGGGAGTTACACGTAAATATTTACAGGTGCTTACGTATTCAGATATTATTTAATAAACCATTACCACACTAGCGGGCGGAAATATAGCGCTGATCGCTTTGAAATTGTCCATGAGGTTCCAGTTATGGTCAAGGACAACGTCAAGGACAACGTCGGTGATGATGAGATAATAATTTTGGGATGAAGTGGACCGAAAGGACACACACTAAGTGTTTTTTTTTATTCAATCCATAGGCTACAATTATAAGCCGAACATCACAACACAACCCACGGTGAAGGGTAATTAGAAGGGATGTACTGAATATTGGTAATATTCGGTAAATATGCCAGTGTAAGGAAGAGGTGCTGTTGACCTCTAATCGGGCAAGGGCTTGTCACTATCACGAAATATTACCCAGGCTCAGAATAAAAATGGTAAGTCGCGGCCGACTATACTGCTCCGCTCACTCCTTCACCACACTGTGGTACAAAGTATTATGTCTCTGTGCATATGTTTGTAACAGGCAAAAGAAAACGAAATAGACACATGGTTCCTTCGAATATGCATAGAATCACTTTTTAAGTCGATTTATGCATGTCCGTCCGTCCATCCGTCTGACTGTCTGTCCATGTTAAATTGTAAACAAAGTACAGGTCGATCCGAACTGGATGTAATTTGGCATAGGTCCACTTATTTAGCCCAAGGACGAACCCTATTGAAATTGGGAAAAATCGGTTGAGATTTAGATATAGCTCCCATATATATATTTATCCGATTTAAGGTAAATGGTGTACCAAACTCCCTATATATCTTTCGATTTGCACGAAATTTGGCACAGAGTTCGGGATTAGGTACAGAATGATGTGTGCCAAGTTTCGAGAAAATCGGTTCAAATTTAAATATAGCTCACATATATATTTTCCTCCGATTTAATGTAAATGGTGTACCAAAGTCCCTATATATTTTTTAATTTGGAGCACCATTTAGTAAAAATCGGACGAAACTATATAGGGGAGAGGGGGGCACCTTTGAACGTGGGGCACCTTTGAACAGCGCTCATAAAATCTTGGTTTAATATTTTTCCGACCCGCAACCACATTTTTGTATATGGCAATCTTGTTCTCTATACGCGTAAACCACTTTGGCTTGCTTTTTCAGTTGTCGAAAAATTGTGCATGGGTGACCATATTTTCTCAGTGTCATTGTAAACTTTTATTCATTTGGATGTAAGGGCGCAGGAAGAATTCTGTGATAGTTTTCTTTCGTCAAACAAATTTTTTGCATTCCAACAATCATTTCAAACATAACTAATGTAATTTCTTTCATATATATTTATTACAAAAAAAGTTATTTTAAATTTCCGTAAAATGCCATGGGTGGGGCACCTTTGAACATGCCCATTAAACTCGAGTAAAAAAAGGAGTTTTTAACTTTTGGCTTCGATTTCTCAAAATTTCAAATGGGCTAATAAGATTACGAAATTAACTGTATTTTTCACTATATTAATTCTTATTTTTAAGTCATTTTATGTTTTAATAACTTTTGATCTCAATTTTTTAAATTTTGAACATTTTTTATATATTTTTAATGAATTAATGCATTTCTGATATGTATGAATAAAATACATACATATTTGAACATAAACACTGTAAAAAACCATGTCGTTCAAAAATGCCAACCCCTGTTCAAAGGTGCCCCCCTGGGGGGGGGCAGTTTTGAACACTTTGAGTTCGTCCACTAAAACAGTAATAAAATATATTTATCAAGCTTATAGTATGTCATATGTATATTTATTTTAAAGGTAACATATGTACCTATTAGTTAAAATTTATAAGAAACCAAAAATGATAAAATAAAAAAATTTATAAGGCTTGAAAGCAAAAAGTGTTCAAAGGTGCCCCCCTCTCCCCTATAAAATCTGAACCGATTTTCACGAAACTTAGCACACATCATTCTAGACTTAATTCAGTACGCTATGTCAAAATTCGTGTAAATCGAATGATTTTCAGGGACTTTGGTGCACCATTTACCTAAAATCGGGCGAAACTATATATGGGAGCTATATCTAAATCTGAACCGATTTTCACGAAACTAAGCACACATCATTTTAGAGTTAATTCAGTACTCTGTGTCACAATTCGTGCAAATCGAATGATTTTCAGGGACTTTGGTGCACCATTTACCTAATATCGTTTTCTCAAATTTCAATAGGGTTCGTCCCTGGGCCAAATAAGTGACTTGTGCCAAATTTCATTCAAATCGGATTATAGATGCGACCTGTACTTTGTTTACAATTTAACATCAACAGACGGACGGACAGGTGGACGGACGGACGAACATGCATAAATCGACCAGAAAGTGATTCTATGCATATTTTCAAAAGGAACCATGGGTCTATTTAGATTCCTTTTGCCTGTTAAAAACATATGCACAAAGACATAGTATCCTGTACCACAGTGTATTGAAGGGTATAAAAACCAGACTTTCCACATGAAAGTGGTATACAAATCCATCTTATACACCCAGTTCCTGAAATACTAAGGATAAAATTTCTCAATGAGTGGAAATGAACTTTAAATAAGATGTCCATGTTTAATTTTATAAACAAATCCTTCATTTAGTATAAATCCGGATAATACTATTAATTTCTTTAATTCGTGAATATTGGCTTAAATCCTATTGAATATTTATCGGTATGATTATTCAGTTTGATGTCAAATAATATTAACTTTCAATTTCATTAAATATTGCACACACATCGTTTACTCTGTTTCGCGTAATATTTGTGTATATTTTTTTGCAATTGGATATTTGTATTCAATTAACAAGTTAACAGTTTTGTTACGTCCGAAGCAATCAAAGATGTTCATTTAATAATTTCACTTATCTGGGTAATTTCTTTGGACACCAATCAAACAATAAAAAAAAACTGAAATTGTTTACACACAATTGTATATTAAACGGTAAAAATCTGACATATTGCGTTTGTTTTTTGCGGCTACTGTGAATAATTCATTCATAAGGTGCACTACATAATGGCTAGAGATCTGAAGCCGTGTACGAAATAAACAATTATTTTTTTGGAGAGGGTTTTATTTTCAATTTTGATTGTTATCATAAATGGTGGTAGTATTGTATAACAAAAAGAAAGATTTTTGAATATTTTGAGCACGTACTTTTCTGATCGAAATTATATTGTTTCACTTTGATGCCAACACAACAGCCACACAGTGGCCCGGCACACTCGCATGGTTTACCGAATGTTGACCATATGGAACCCTTGCTGGAGAATTTGAAATTGGACAGGCTACGGCCACGCGATACCGACACGGTGGGAGGTAAGATTATTTGTTTCGTTTTAAGGTCATAAAATATGAGGCCATTGTCATAACTGCGATTTTCGACTAGAACACATGAGGACACTAATATGATTAGCACAACCGTACATATTTGCGGCGCGATTGACATTTTGTGTTTTTTAGGAAAATATTTTCTTTTTTTATTTCCAAATTTCCTTAAATTGCAATTTATTGTTTTAAAATATTTTGTTGCTGTTTTTTTACTATTTATTTCTTTGGTTATTAAATGCTTAAATGCTTTTTTGTCACTTTAACGATTTTTTGTTTTGTTTTTCTTCTTCTTGTTATTGGCCAACCGACCGGACCGCACTCTTCGAAAGTTGATTATGCATTAAAGATGTATTTGCGGTTAGCATTTGTTTAAAAATGAAATTGAAACTGTTTTTCTTGTGCTGTGCTGTGTTGTTGTTGTTTGGCCGATTGGCAGATTGTGCTGTGCTATGAGCCGTTTCTCAGCTTGTGGCACATGCGCACAACAATGATGGGTGCCAAACAACAGTCAGTCTGCCTACTTCTCTGTTTGTCTGTCTGTCTCCCAAACCAGCGTCACCAAAGCCAAACCAGCGTCACCAGACGATAATGATGTTCAGGTTCATCATCGCCATTGTCTCAGCCAAAAAAAAAAAAAAAAAAAACACACTCAGCAATTGTAGCACCTCCAGTTAAACAACAAAAACAAAGAAGAAGAAAAAAGTCAGTAACCAAATGCATACCGCACAGTTTGCATGCGATGGCCCCAACGTGCTTTAATGAAAGAATGAATAAATCAATGTTAACATTTTGAGGTTTTTTATTTTCATAAATAAATATCACAATAAATATATTGTAAACTAATAAGAAAATTACCACAGGCCGATTGTGTGATATCCTCCACCACTTTGGATATATATATATATATATATATATATGGGTGCTATATATCAATTTGAATAAAACTTGAAATAAGCTTCCATTATATACTTAATTCGAAAGTTTCTGTAATAAGGAAAGAAGTGGGGTGTTTGATGCACCACTTACCTGAAATCGGACGAAAAAATATATGAGATCTCTATCGAAATCCAAACGGATTTCATCGAAAGTTAACCAACATCAAAATTTTGACATAATCGGATATACCTTGGGAGTTTAGGTCACCATTAACATAAAATCGCTTGAGACTCTATATGGGAACTATATCTGAATCTGAAACTATTTCGACTTAATTAAAAAAACTTAGCACAACTTCATCTCACTCAGACAAAACTTTGGAGTTTGGTGCATCATTAATATAACATAATAAATCAATATCTAAATCAGAACCGATTTCGACAAAACTTAATATACGTCATTCTTGTCTCAATTTAGCACGATGTACATTCTTTTTTTTTAATCGGACAAGCATGAGACTGTGATCGCTATTGTAAAATCGGTCGTAAAGTATATATGGTTGCTATATCTAAATCAAAATCGATTTTAACCAATTTCAATAAGGTTCATCCGTGGACCAAATACATTAGTTGTACGAAATGTGTGGAGAGGCGGCCTCATTGTCAATATGAAATAATACTTCATGGTCTTCTAAGGGGAAGACTATTTTGGTCTACTCTGGAAGAAGATCTTGTAGTCTTTTTTCGGTCTTCTACTGAAGCCCTCATCTTCTTTTACGGAATCTCATGTTATTTTATCGAGGAACGAGTCATGGTCTTCTATCGAAGAATATCTCGCCATCTGCTTTGGAAGAGGACCTAATAGACTTCTATTGTAGAAGACGTCATGGTCTTACATTTGGAGTGACGTCATGAAAGAAGGCCCCGAGGTATTTTATAAAAAAAAAACAGTAAGGAAAGTAGTAAAGTCGGACTGGGCCGACTATATGATACCCTTCACTACTTTGGGTATATTGTACATATGTATCCTAGCAATTGCATGTCTATGTTCCCTCTTTCTCCAACCTATCCTAGCTTTAATTTCAATCGAGCAGATTTAGAGCCGCCTGCTTAACATGGGGAAAATTTATGGAAAACGATTTATAGCAAAATTGATACACGCTATTCGGTACGCCGCGTTGTTAAGAATATAATCTATATGTGGGAGCTATATCTAAATCTGAACCGATTTTCACAAAAAATAACACACATCTCTCTAGACTTAATTCAGTACGCTATGCCAAATTTTGTGCAAATCGAAAGCTATATATAGGAACCTTGGTACACCATTTACTTTAAATCGGACGAAAAATATATGGGAGCTATATCCAAATCTGAACCGATTTTCACGAAACTTTGCACACGTACATTGAGCCCTAATTCATTACGCTGTGCCATATTTCGTAAAAATCGAAAGATTTTCCGGGACATTGGTACATAATTCACCTCAAATTGGACCAAAATATATATGGGGTAGTTATATCCAAATTCTTGACCGATTTTCACGAAACTTAGCACACGTCTCTTAGATTTAATTCAGTACGTGATGCCAAAAATTGTGTAAATTAATATATATCCGGAATTTTGGTACACCATTTACCTTAAATCGGACGAAGATATATATGGGGCTATATATAAATCGGAATAGATTTTTTCAAAACGTGGCACACATCATTCTAAACCTAATTCATT